TTTTAAAATTAAGCTAAACTTTGCTCGTTTAAGTTGAGTCTTTAATTTTAATTAAACTGAAACAATTAAAGTAAAACCCTATTAGTCGCGCCTCTCACTCAACCACCAAATAAGAGTGCAAACCCCAAGCAATTATTAAACAAAAATAAGTTTAAATAGTTTGAAAGCAACGTCTCAAATGCCACTTGGCGGATGCCAACCCAGGTTACCGTTATAGCCCGACCGTGAAGTCAATGATCCAACAGCCAGGTTCTACTAGCCGTTTGATTTGAAAGCAAAAAAAATAGAAAATATATTCCACGTTTTCACTGGACAGATACCCTTAAATTTCTCTTGAGCTTAATCCATTCCTCATCCATATCTTTTTCTTCTTCTTCTTGGGTTTCTTTTCTCTCTAGATGCTTTCATTCAGCATTCTGGGGTTGTATAAATTGTGGGTCTGGTGAAGGAGAGTGTATTTTCGTTTATTTATTTGATCAGGGGTTTTGTGATTGAGCTTTCAGATATCACGAGAATCATAATGGTTATATCTGAAGAGAACGATTCTACCCAGATTAAACCCACTAATGCACAAGGTTCTGTTTGGCGAGATCTTGCTTATTTTTACCAATTTTATGGTTTTTGAGCTTACAATCAGTTTTCAATCTCAATGTTCTTATTTTATTTTTCATTTTTCTTTTTGGGATTTGAATAATAAAAGGAGGGGGAGTAATCGCTGGCAGAAAGTTTGGAATGGAGGTGAGACCAAATAGAAGGGCTCTGAGTGCGATTAATCAGAATTTAGTGGGAGCTCATCCTCGTCCATATCCCTGTGTTGTTAACAAGAGAGGCTTATCGGAGTAAATCTAGACTCTAATTTAACATCCTTCATATTTCTTTTGTCATTTCTTCCGAATGCTTTTGAAGAGTAAAATAATAAGTCATATTTCTTGTTACTCAGAACAAATGGGAATTGTGATAAGAATCTTCCAATTCAAGCACACAGGCCAATCACAAGGTCTGATTTGTGAAATAATTTATTTTTATCTCTAAAAGTTTCTCCTTTCAAGTTTTGATTTTTGTAAACTCCTACTTTCTGTTTTCGCTTACAAGAATTATTTGATTTATAAAGGAAATATGCAACACAGATGCCAATCTTGCAGCAACCATGCCCTGAGGTATATGCTCTCTTTCTCAAGGACATTTGAAAATTTGTGTATAAAATTTTTCCCAGTGAATGGACACAG